CCAAGCCCTCTGGTGCAACTGGAGCATGTGACTCCAAGTGGGACGCACATGTACCTATAGTACATGTCTGTGAGCTTCTCCTTGATTGTTGACACTGTATCCTGTAAGATAGACAGCCCAGATGCTGTGTTACAAACGTTTGGAACCATACACAAGTGGAAATACACAAGGAGAGTGTGCTGTGCACTCGTGGGGGACAGATTTTGTAGACAGCAGGAAGAGAATTTCTGGTTTCCTGGCACTTAGGGAAGTGGCAGCTCTTGTAGTTTTGAGAATTAAGGCTTCTGAGTAATAGGGGAGTCAATCCATTAGCCTCCTGCTGGGTAACCTTGTGGGAGAGGATTGGAGAGCTCATTGAGTCCCTCATTAAAGGAACTTAATGACAGAATTTTTGGGCTAGCCTTTTACTAGCTGAAAATCTCTTAGGAAGAAGGCTGTTTTAAGAATAGAAAAAGTATGCCAGGTGTGATGGCTCTTGCCTATAATCTCAGCACTTTGTGAGGCTGAAGAGGGAGGATTGGTTGAGCCCAGAAGTTCAAGACCATCCTGGGCAACACAGCAAGACCTCATCTCTACAAAAAATTGGGCATGGTGGTGCCCTGTAGACCCAGCTACTTGGGAGGCTGAGGCAAAAGGATCGCCTGAGCCCAGAAGGTTGAGGCTGCAGTGAGCTATGATTGTGCCACTGCACTCTGGCCAGGGTTCTAGAGTAAGGCCCTTACTCAAAAGAAAAAGAAAATAGGCTAGGTGTATTGGCTCACACCCATAATCCCAGTGTTTTAGGAGTCTGATACAGGAGGATCACTTGAGGCCAAGAGTTTAAGATCATCCTGGACAACATAGCAAGACCCCATCTCTACAAAAAATTTAAAAATTGTTGGGTGTGGTGGTGCATGTCTGTGGTCGTAGCTACTCAGAAGGCTGAAACAGGAGGATCACTTGAGCCCAGTAGTTGGAGGTGGAAGTGAGCTATGATCGTGCCACAGCACTCCAGCCTGGACGATAGAGCAAGATCCTTTCTCTAGGGAAAAAAAAGTTACTAGCAGGTAGTCATGGCCAAATGGTTAGGGCAATAGACTTGAAAATAAGTTGCTGACAACCCTAAAAACTGGGAGGGTTCATTTCCTTCCAGTCTTTTTTTCTGTGCATAATTACACTATGTACGGGGTCTGACAATTAAGTGCATGAACTCATCCCACAAAAAGTGCTAAATAGCTCATTGCTGAATATCACTATGGACACCTTCCAAGTACTCTCCTTGGGAACCTATGTACTGATGCCAGTGCTTAGTCCACCCATCAAAGCAATTTTGGAACTCTTTCTGGAATGGCCATCAGAGCTGTCATTGCAATATACCCTTGATATCCTGAATGTCGTCAAAATGTCTTCCTTTCAATATTTCCTTTATCTTTGGTAAAAAAAAAAAAAAAAGTCATTGGGGACCAGATCAGATGAGGAGGGAAAGTGTTCCACCACAGTTATTTGTTTACTAGCTAAAAACTCCCTTACAGTACTGTGAGCTGGTGCATTATTGTGATGTAAGAACTCCTTCAGGACCATTTTTGCACACATCTTTCTCATGCCAAGATTTTCACTTAAGATTTTCCCTGTTTCTCTATTGATGTTTATTTAATCTGCTACTCTTCTCACAGTCAGTCGATGATTTTGATGCACAATTTGACACATTTTTACCATATTTTCATCAGTTCTGCTCATGACTGACCATCCTGACCTCTCTTCATCAGTGACGCTTTGTCTCCCCTCAGAAAAATGTTTAATCCATTGGTACACTGCCATTTTTTTCATGGCATTATCCCCATAAACTTGGATTAACATGTCCCTGATTTCACTTCCACTCTTGCCAAATTTAACAAGAAATTTGATGTTTGTTAGTTGCTCTAATTTAAACTCTGACATTCTTGAGACAGCACATAAAAACATGCAACAATAACACCAGACACTACTACACGTCAATACAAACACCGCTGTGACACACTGATATACCAAGGTTATAAAACCTTACCGAGTTGTTTGTACAGGCTGCTGGGAAGCACGTGGTGGCAAGTTTGCGAACTTAATTGTCAGACTGCATATATTGTTCTGTGCGTAGACTATGTATGTAATTCTGGACTATACTTACTTTGTTTTACTTTTATAGCATAAGAACTTCCCTATATAATTTTAAAACTCTACCATAAATATCACTTTACATAGCTAGATAATAACCCGTGGGGTGAGTGCCCCAAAGATTATTTAACTTTTGCCCTATATTTAAGGTAATTTAACCTTTGCCACTTTGCCATTATTCCAGTCCTTCTAGCACTATGACAAAGCAGGTTTCTCCTGAAGATGAGGCTGCAAAACTGTGTGCTAGAGACAAAAAGCATGGCTACCCTGGAGATACCGTGGCCCCTGGAATGCTCTGGAGCTGAATCAGGCCTAGATCCCTTTTCCCATCCTCCCACTTGCTAAGCATGTCACAGCCCAGGACTCCTAGCTGGTGATGCAGTCAGAGAGGCAGGGCTGGTTTCTGAGTGATCACTTCCTCATGGGTACATTCCAGCCTCCCACAGAGGATCCTGTCTGCATGTGTATGCTCTTGGGCACTGAAAGTAGCTCTTGATAGTTCTTAAGCCCCTCTCTCCCCTTCTGTTCCCCAAGTCCTCTGCCCAAAAGAGGACAGTTTCTTAACTTCTTTCACCTAGATTAGTTTTGCCTGTTTTTGAACTTCATGTCAATATAATCACACTTATGTTTGTTAGATTCACCAATGTCATTGCATGTCCTTGGAATTGCTACATTTCATTATGTGAATGTGAATATCCCCCAGTGCTGTATCTATTCTACCTTGATGGACATTTGGGCTGTTTTTGGTTTTTAGCTACTGTAAGTAGTGTTGTTATAAACATTATAGTCCATGCCTTTTGGTGAACATGTTTTTGTCTGGTCTCTCCATCATACTGGAATTACTGGGTCATGGGGAAGGCATGTATCAGTACCTAGTGCCAAGCTGCTTTCCAAAGTGATCATCCTGTTTTACACTCCCACAGCAGACTTTTTTGTGGGGTTGGCAAAATATTCATAACATAAAATGTACTTTTTAACCATATTTAAGTAAACAATTCAGTGGCACTAAGTACAGTCACAAAGTTGTACAACACCATTATCTCCAGAAGTTTTGCATCATCCCAAACAGAAACTCTGTACTCTTAGTTATTAGACAATAACTCCCCTCCTCCCTCTCTCTGTCCCCTGGGAACCTTTATTCTTTTTTTTGTTTGTTTGTTTTTTGAGTTGGAGTCTCACTCTGTCGCCCAGACTGGAGTGC